AACTCAAATTTACTAATATTAATATTTACTAAATATGGACTGAAATATTATATTTGTGCGTACCTTCGCCCGAAAATGCAGGTTATTAATACGCTTATGATTTTGAATGTTGAACAACACGCGCTTATGCGTTTTGAATTACTGGTACGTACTAATAATTTAACACTTGCATTCAGATTTCATCGACGATACACTGTTTAGTTTAACAATTGTGTTTACAGTTTACGCTATATCTCAGGTCAATATGCACACATTGATATTACGTGTACAGTGTAATGGACAATGTCCCGGCTGAATCTCTTTTCCAACAGTTCTAAAAAAACAAACATGTACTTTTTTCGTAATATGCAAATTCTACAAGATTCATAAGCCCAGCGATGACACAAACAATAGCCAACCTTTGCCCATTGTTATCAGCAATATTTTGATTCACCACAAACAGTGTACATGAGACGGAAGGGTTACCGTGTGACGACTGTGATCTTTTAATTCAAGCATAAACCGATTCAGTTGGAATTAGACATTTACTGATCCATGTGAGCTATTTCGTGGTTATCTGACATGCAGTGCTCTTAAATGGTTGATTTGCGACACCATTAGGCTATATACGTTCAGTACAATACCAAAACAAGGTCTGATGAAAATATACATAACTGCTCGAATAATTACTTAACTTTCAAGATATCAGTTAGCAATAATCGTCATATTCAAATAATTATCGTCTAATGTTAACCTACCTGGTGCTACCGCCAGAATAGCAAATAAACACAGAACGCTGACAGCCATCTTGCCTACTTTGATAGAATGGGTAACTACAGTGACATAGGCGAACTTTGTTGCCATGCCTTATCAGTTTAGGTCATATGATCGTGTTATTATCGTATTCGTGTTATCGTGGATATAGCATTGGTAGATGCTACTTCGGTGTAGGCAAAGCCACAAAGACTACTGCTCTATAATGCCGTTTTAATAGATAATTTGTGAATAGAGCAAATAAGTCATAAATATCCTTTTTACCAGATATTAGCATCATAAAATCTGATAAAAGGTCAATCATCCAAGAGACCTACACATTAAGTATCAATTGACAAAATTGCCACGAAATAGGCAATTGACCTAGTAGTTTTAGTAGAAGATGAAGCAGGCACATTTTTTTTCAAAAATCCCAAAAATATTTGACAAAAATAGAGAATTGAAGATACCATCACAAAATGAACAAATCTGATTGAAGTCCGCCATGTATCAAAACAATTGAGCTGGTAGTTTTTAATACAAAAACACGAATAGCTTTTTTACCAAAAAATTACCAAAATATAATTGAATATCTCGTCACAGAGGTCCACCATTATAAAAGGAATTGAGTTAACGATAGTAGTTTTCAAGAAGAACTCGAAAATATTAATATTAACTAAAAATAAAAAAATTGAAGTTCTCACCATGAAAGAAGAAGTTGAGAATAGTATTGTTGACGGACGCGCCGGACAACAATCACCTTTATAAACAGCTCCACACTGAACTAAAAAAACTTCAAAATTGAGAGAACTGGTATTGTTAATATATGTGGTAGACATTTATTCTGTGAAATCAAATGCTAGTACAATGAGTAGATGAGTACAGTGCTATTTGCAATTAACAATTTCATAAATGCGTTTAAACTATCGTTCTGATATACATGATAACTATAGACTAAAATTCTGTTTACTTGTATTTACACGCTTCACTACAAAGTAATACTTAATTATACAAATTAACAATACGTTTGAAATATCTAAATTCAATTACCCCGAAAAAACAGACTATTCAAGAAATGCAAAAAATTATGTATGAATTTCTGTGGGAAGGCAAAGACAAAATAGCTAGAAGTACAATGATGGGAGGCGTGGGCCAGGGAGGTCTGGCTATGCTGTACCTGTATATCATTAAAAAACAACAAAGGATCCTTTGGACCAAACATTATTTAGACCCTTTAACCATCCCTGGAAACTTTCTAGACAAGCAGCTTGAACCAGTGGGGGTTGGATGATCTTCAGGTTCAATTATAGTACTAGCGTCATGCCGAAACAGAGTGAATTTGTCACAGAGACTATGGAAAAATTTAAAATATGTAAACAAGGTAAAGAACAAATCATATGGAATAACGAAAAATATTGATTGGAGGGAAATCTGTCTATATAGAGGACTTTGTCCGAAATGGAATAATGAAAGTATCTGATCTTGTAATTGTGAATAAAAAGGTGCGAAATGGCGACTACAATGAAAATTGTTATCAGTGTTTACATTAAATATTCAGTGTTTGTTCATCTATTAAACCGAGCAACAGTTACTTAACAAAAATGGGTTATGCTTGCCTGCCGTTGTTTCCTACTTTGGATTGTTTTACAACAATCAATAAGTTCTTTTATCTTTATTCACAATTACATGTACATGTATAGGATCAATGACAACCTTTTCCTGTGTGATATAAGGTGTTGATTGTTTTTTTTCTGCGCCTATGTTTGAATAAATAACCACTTTCCCAAGAACCTCGCTAAGACGCGGTCCTCGATAAGTCGCGGTTTTTGTTTGGACCCTGACACCCGCGACTTAGCGAGGGGATACTGTAACTATTATAGTTACAGATTGAAATTGGTTATCCTCAAATGGTGCATTATTCACTGAATCTGTCACTGACATCACATAAACATTTGAATAATTCCGAGGCCAATTCATAATGTCCTTTAGACAAAGCAAATATCATTAATGCAATTATTATAATACACACAACTGCGTACAGAATGTATTTCCAAGCATCCTTATCTGTGAAATAAAATGAAAGAGAAACTAGAAGACATAAATTATAATCAAAACATACAAAATATTGTCGAATCCAATCAACCTTACCATTTTGAATTTTAGATTTATAGATTGTGAGAAAACATTGATTATTTTTTTCAAATGTCAAGATAGTATATTAATGCTGATTACAATATAATTATTGTCACAACATTGCTTTAACTAAAAGCCACACCAAAGCTTACCATCATCATAACTATCGTCATAGACTTGATTTGCTCCATAAATAGTTTCTGTAAATCGAAATGAGTAAGGACGATTTGGTGATTACAATTGTTTGAACATTATAATAATTAACAAATGGAAAGTAACTATGGGGATGATGGAAGGTCCAAGCATTAGGAGAGTTACCATAATTTACAAATTCCCCAAACAAATATGGAAAAAAGAAAACGCTAATGCCAAGTCAGTGGAGTTTAATTATGTTCATTACAAATAAGGGATCACTCGTGTTTTAAATAGAGTGGCATGAATGTGAACACTAATGAACATTTCAAAACAATCCAACCACAAATCAATCAAAATGTTTCATTTCATTATACTTATAAAACTAAATACATATATCTGTATTTGAAATGTGTTTGTGTCCACAGATTGAAAACTATATTGCCGTTTTAGAACCGCAAACAATACAACATAACTGTAAGACGTACCAGTAGTATTTGACTCATTATAAGGCATACTATTCTGTGATGCTGAAATGACCTTATAATCTGTTCCTAGAAAATAAAAATTATCTATGAATTTTGATGTTATGTCAATAAATTAATCAACAATCAACAGACTGATCAACCAACTGTCCAATTGCATGTACCCTTATTTGTTCCAAAAACAATTTCTGCAGATTGAAGTTAAGAGATGAATTATGACGAATTAGTAAACACAAACGTTGGCACATTCCATCAGTTAACACATGTACAGTAGCTACAGGGAGGAAAGAATGCCCCAAGAACTTGAACTGAAGTTAAGATTCAACCTGGCTGTACAAACCAACTTGCAACAGGGAAACGACAATGCAACTTCAGTACTGTTTTTAAATTATATTTCATTACAAACAAGGAATGACGAATCTATATGGTTTAGATCCCAAAAATGTATTGTCTCGCAGGGATGACATATTGCTGATTATTATAAAAACAAATTATTCACGGTAAAAAAAATGTAACACATACCATGCGTATTTGACTCATTTTGGAGAATACCATTCTGTGACGTCAAAATGAAATTATATTCAGTTCCTGAAAAATAAAATTTTGATAAAATCTCACTCAATAACATTTATTATTGTGTTATCGATAGTTTAAATGACTGAACAATTGATCAATAGATTTACTGCTAACTTGAAAATATGCAAATTGATAAAGTGATTTGGATAAACTGGTATCTAGCCATTTGACCCCATTGAGTATGCACATATATAATTCTGGGAGATTTATTGTATATACGCATAACCTGTTATCAGTTATTCAGCACAGATTGGGATAACAAATATTAGCTAGTCATGTGACCTATGCATATAACTATATAACTATTAACCATGTCAATATGTTCGTAATATGCGTTAGTGGGAAATCAATATGTTTCCATGTGACTTGGGCTGATGATAGTAGATAGTGAAATTAGTAGCATGTTTGTTAAGTAGGAAGGATGTCATATGTCATCTCATTGTATTTGTCAATCTTCCTCATATAATCAAATCAGAGAAAGTTTTACAAAACCATTTCATGTACGCACATATACACAGAGTGTGGGATCAAGTGGATGATGCATAATTTACACTCATCAACAAAGACAAACCCAGAAACGAACCTGTTACTGACAATTCATTCGTATCTGTAAACAAAGGGTCCTTACAAAGCTGGCCACATCCATTACTGCAACATTTCTTCTTATCTTCACAATCAAAATCATGTCTACAAGCTTTTTCACATGCTTCATTGGAAAACATGTACACAACTGGACACATTCCATCCTTTTGGAGGGTTGAATCTGTTAACGAATGGAGAACTCATCATATTTTTTCCCTAATATAAACTTTAAAAGATGAACAATTAATATACAATATTATCTTTAATTATTCAGATGATAATTTTATAGCTCAGATATTGCAGCTTAAGAATGTTTTACACATTTAGCGTCATATATGCAAATTATGACAATTATTATTTGTAACATGATTTCCTTTGTGTGATTAAATTCTACCTTGAATAGGTCCAGCTTGCAGTACACAGATGCACGTGACGGAAAACACAAGGATAGGAAGTAAAGATGGTTTTGTATACATTGTATTCTTTCTTATATATGTCTTGAAAAACCTAAACAACATATAGATTAATATGATAATAGTATTTAAAACTGTCAATGTTAACCAGTTTACGTAAAAATAACACGAGAGCAAATAATCTATATTTTACTGGTAGTTTAGAAAAGAGTTTACAACAATTTTAAAAACGAAAATGAATTTTACCAACTGGTATTTTAAATAAAAACACAGCGCAGTAACGAAAGTGGGTTTAAAAAAAATATTTCCATCTATTTTAATTGAATTTTATTGAAAAACTACGCCCAGTAACATTTACAATGCAATAAATACACGACTCCTAAATATGTTTACATTGGCACACCTAAATACGGATCGTACATCAACTATGTATGGTTAATAAGTAACGAAAAGATCATAAAACAAATTAGTATTGCGCTTCATATGTACATTA